TCTCTCTCTCTCTCTCTCTCTCTCTGCATGTGTGTGTGTGACTAAGTAGCCTCATGCTTATTACATTTAAATTGATAATTTAGGTGATTCTACTATTATATATTACATTTTTTTTTTAATTAACTTTGGAAAGTGGTAATTCTGGCCAACAATACTGTCTCATTATCCAGGTTTTCTTTTCTCGCGTTTATGGTGTTACACCTGACATTTATATACACAGATCATTCAGCTGACCTCGGTTATGGGATTATATTTTATGAAAGTTAATTCCTTTTGCAGCCTGATCGTGTAATGGAATTCTGTAACAACAATGATCTTCAATTGATTGTTCGAGCGCACGAGTGTGTGATGGATGGATTCGAAAGATTTGCACAGGGGCATCTAATTACTCTCTTTTCTGCTACAAACTACTGTGGTATGCCCTAATGATTAATGGCTGGTCATGAAAATTTAAATTGCTTGCTGCCTCATTTCTCAAGTATTTGTCTTTAAAATAAAAAAAAAATAAAAAAATAAAAAATCTGCAGGTACTGCAAATAATGCTGGTGCTATCTTGGTTCTGGGTAGAGATTTAGTGGTTGTGCCAAAGCTAATTCATCCTTTACCGCCTGCACTTTCGTCTCCAGATACCTCTCCCGAACATCATATAGAAGATACATGGATGCAGGTGCTGCATTTATTCACAATCTTTCATTTCTAGTTTGATTACTGGCCTTCTTAGTTCTTATTATAAATAGGGGGGATGGTTAATAATTAGATGTTGCATTTACGAATTTCCAAAAAGAACAAAAAAACTGTTGCAACCATGATTGATAGTCTTGAATTTATGAATCTCAACAGGACCATTGTAACATCCCCCATGGTGATATTTATAATTTAAGAGGGAGGGTGGGTAAACTCTGGGGTATGTAGTTGAGCAATATCTTTATTGTCTTGCTAAGTCTCTCTCTCTCTCTCTCTCTCTCTCTCTCTCTCTCAGGAACTGAATGCCAACAGACCGCCTACACCAACGAGGGGTCGTCCTCAAGTACCTAATGACCGAGGTTCTGTTGCTTGGATTTAATCTAATCTAATGCTCAACAGATTGTTTATCTAAATACTTGTCCCAGGTTCATGCTAACACCTGGAAATTTCCAGTGATTTGTACATAACATGTTGCCCCCATATATGGATTTTTCCCCAAATAGAGCGGAGGAAGACCTTTGAGCTGTCGGCATCCTTTGCATGCTCGAGAAAGTTTGATCTGCAGATTTCTCTACTCAGATGTCATGTGCTGCAAAAAGTTTTGGTTGTCTGAAAAGATGTGTTCACTATGTGGCGTCGACACAAGGGTCTGTACCTGGAGCATTCTTGTGAGGCTGGGTTACTGCGTGTTGGCCTTTTTTTTTTTTT